TTCTCATTAAACGTAGAAATACATTAAAATATCTCGCTATTTATACCGAGTTATGCTCGTCCCGAAATGATGACAATCTTTCGTTAAACAATGAATATTTATATTTGAGCCGTTTATTTTGAAAGTGGCATAAGTCACTTTGTTTTTAAGTCGATATATTTAAGGGTGTGCGTTTTAAAAATATTAATATATTATAATTATATTATATTATATATATAATTATATATAATAATTATATAAATAAATATAATAAATAATAATAATATAAATAATAATATAATATATATAATATATAATAATATAAATATATATTATTATATTATATAATATTATAATTTTACGTTTAAAAATATGGATGCTAACTTTCGAGAAGATTCACTTGTATTCGTTATCTCAGGATACTGATATTTTTCTCAGTATAAATAATTTCGTATAAACATTAAAAGATCACCTCTTTTCATTACGGTAAAGTGACTTATGCCACTTTCAACATAAACGTCTCCTTTAATACAAAGAAAAACAATTTAACAGAGAATCAAGAACAAGAGCGCTACTCAAATGAATAAATTTTACTAAAGGAAAGGAATCTCCGTTTGTCATGAAGTACCGCTAAATACTACATTCACCGTTCCACCAGCAACAACCCAACAATCAAAGTCGAGTCCGTCTTTCGGTCGGTCAATGTCACGTCGCGTGTGTCAATAAATTTCATAAAATTGCTAACCGCCGTATATCAAAGTCGAACACGGTGTTCAAGACGGCCACCTGTTGCGATACCCGAGGATCGCGTGGTTCGCGAACGGAACGGCGCAGAGTCTCGTTCCCCGCTGGATGCTCGCGAGAGAGGAGACTTAGGGATGAGCCTCTAGAGAGAGAGAGAGAGAGAGAGAGAAGGCGCCGGTGGTAGGGAGATGAGGTTTCGATCCCGCGGCGGAGAAGTGGGTCGTTTCTCAACGAGCCGAAGTCACTCGACGTGAACGTGTCGGCTACGCACTCCTTCGCTGCACTCAGCTGGGCACAGTCGTCTCCGATCCGCGATCCACGATCCTCGGTTCCCCCTCGATCGACGGGCCCGCCATCGAGATCAATCCGGCCTGGGTGCCTAACCCGACTGTCGCCCGGTTGGTTCCTCCAGAAAAAAGTGAAAGGTGGGATCTAACGGTACCCGGATCCGAGGCGCATAACCGTGCGACGCTGCGAAGTGACCAAAAAAAAAAAACAAACAAGAAACTTGCCGCCCGAAAACTCGTCCCCGAGCCGCAGTGAAGTGAAAAGTGTTCGGCCAGAGAGGAGAAGATCGAAAGTGACGGGCCCTATTACGGTGCCAGCCCGCCTCGCCGGTCGTTGGAAAGTGGTGAAAATCGGGCCCATTCTCCGTGTGAACTCCGGCGTCCTTTGTTCCGCGCCACGTTCCTCCTTCGCGGCGACCTGTTGCGCCCAATTTTCCGATCCGCTCCGACTTTCATCGGATTCTCTTTCTGCGTTCTCGCCCCCGATCTACTTCGATCATCTCCGAGACCCGGTTTAGTCGACGGGTAATCGTTCCCGGAGCATGATCGCCCACGGCCATCGGAAGTAGTCCCCGTCCGCGATGAACGTTCCGTGGGTCGCCGTTCATTGACGCCACTTTCGTCCGCTCTTAGTTCCGCGACCGTCATTCCGGAACCCGGTCACGATCGCTCGCGGGAAATGGGCGACATCCGAGTGCTGGATCCGCGGATGGATCCTCGATTCGAGTTGAAGCAGCCGCGTCCGTGGCCGCCGATGTACCGGAACCATCCGGCGTCCAGGGGGCCGTCGTTCTGCTACCGGCCCGTTCCATTGGACGCGATGGCGCAATGGGTGACGCCTCATCTGGCAGACTACAACTACGTGCCGGCCAGGATGAGCGCGTCGAACCCTAACAAGGGCCGCGATTACTATTACCTGGCGCCGTTGTACAGGAACGCTATACCGCCGCCGCAGGGGATGTCGCCGCTCCAGGTGTCCCCCGTGGCTGTCTCGCCGAGAATGATGATGATGGAGGCGCCCAGGGGTCGCGCGAAAAGCTCCGGCGGGCTCTGCAGGAGCAGCGTTCCTCCGTGCACCTGCTCCGTGGGCAGGACAAGGTCCCTGGAGGACGTCAGAAGCGAGATCAGCGAGTGGGAGGACTTCCACGACGAAAACGGCAATCACCTGCAGAGGAAGAGCCCGAAGAACGGCGTCCCCTGCAGACAGGTGCGCAGGTCTATGGAGAACCTTTTGGACGTCGAGTCGGTGGAGCAACAGGAAGCCAATACGTTCGAGAGGGTAGCGAGAAGCTGCAGGAAAGCGGACGAAAAGAGGAACGAGAAGGCGGGAAGGCGCCGCGGCAGCTACATGGTTCGTTAGGATTTTATTTGCCGTATCTATTGGTGTCCCGGTGAAACTGGCTAACGATGGGTTAGGCGAGTTTAGATTTGCGGGTCAAGAAGTCGAGAAGGTCCGGGTTGGAGAGGGTCGGTTGGCTACAGTCGTTATTTCCGCGAAGCTTGTATATGATTTAGGTTTCTGGTTGTGTGATTATTTCCTTCTCTTCCGTTCAGGTGCAGAAACCTCTTCGCACTGAATTATAAACGTACATATTTATTATTTGTTAATAATTAATTAACGAATTTATTAACAATTAAATTGTTCGTAATGTATATATATAATAACCTCTCTCTCTCTATATATATATATATATATATACACAAATGTACTAATTGTTCCACAAAGGTTCTACAAATGAAATTTTCATCGTTAATTCTGCCTTGTTAAAAAATGAGATAAAATAACCCCACCGCATCTTAAAGTTTAATCTAGATAAATTGAAATTCGAGTTACCGAGGTTTGACCAACAGTTCAACAGTACACAGATATCTATTAAAAGTTAACAAAAGTAAGGAAAGAACCATAAACTATTTGTATATTATAACAATATTTCCAGATCTCTAGAAATGACGATATAAATTAAAATACAGTAACAAATAAACAAGAGAAAAATGTTAGGAATTTCTAAAACACTTTGAAAATTACAATTACAATAATACACTACGATATACATTAAGATATAAATATGGATTAAAATATCGTAAAAAGAGAGTACTGTATTTCGAAAACAGGAAAAAGGAATTACCATAAAACTTTCAATGATCTTTATTAACACAGAATTAGGTGAAGAATGTATGTATTTCCAAAGAATATTCAGAAGAATTACACAACGGTAAGGAAATAGCGCGGCGTGNTTTCGAAAACAGGAAAGAGGAATTACCATAAAACTTTCAATGATCTTTATTAACGATAATAACTTTTTCTTTTAATTTTTTAATTTAATAACGATATAAATTAAAATACAGTAACAAATAAGCAAAAGAAAAATGTTAGGAATTTCTAAAACACTTTGAAAATTACAATTACAATAATACACTACGATATACATTAAGATATAAATATGGATTAAAATATCGTATTTCGAAAACAGGAAAGAGGAATTACCATAAAACTTTCAATGATCTTTATTAACGATAATAACTTTTTCTTTTAATTTTTTAATTTAATAACGATATAAATTAAAATACAGTAACAAATAAGCAAAAGAAAAATGTTAGGAATTTCTAAAACACTTTGAAAATTACAATTACAATAATACACTACGATATACATTAAGATATAAATATGGATTAAAATATCGTAAAAAGAGAGTACTGTATTTCGAAAACAGGAAAAAGGAATTACCATAAAACTTTCAATGATCTTTATTAACACAGAATTAGGTGAAGAATGTATGTATTTCCAAAGAATATTCAGAAGAATTACACAACGGTAAGGAAATAGCGCGGCGTGCGAAATGTCCAATAAAAAGTTAACGAGCGAATTGAATACTTGACAGAAGAAACGCCTAATACGTTAAATAGCAGTCTCGTGGATATACGTCGAGATCGCTTTATAAGCCATTAGATTCCGTATGTTTTACCAATGTAGAATTAGCTGGGTTCATTTTTATCTGACACATGGTTGGAACACATGTTTGAAACTCACGATTGTACTTTACGAAACAGTTCCTTTACCCTATTTTATATGCAAATCGACGAAAGCAACATTTCATGGAAAGTGTTCCGCGATTTACTCCAGTTTCGCAGTCTCTGCTCTGGCAGCCGTGGTTCCGGACCTGCAACGCGGCGTTCGATCCATTACGCAGCGTTTACGTCGCGTACAAATCGTTCCAAGGTAAAGCCGCGCGGTCGGTCTCTCGGCACTCGTTGCAATCCGGAAACAACGGTATGACTCAGGAAAGCGGGTAATCGATTTTCTCCTCGCTTTGATATAATCGTCGTCGCGTGTGATTAAACCTCGGAGACTCCGCGTCTTTAATGGAACGAACGCCGCGCCGTGATTGCGCGCGCTATTTTGCCGAGCGATCAACAGGGACCTCGTTTAACCTGCGCGGAAATCTTCGAATAATGGACAGATATTTAGTTCGATTGGTTATCTTGCTTTTGGTATATCATAAAAGTTTCCGACGATTTCGCTTTCTCCGCAAATTGGTACGCCGATTTTTCAGAAACGAATTACCAACAGCGCGGATAATCGATGATCTTCTTTCCGCGCTAATCGCTGCGACTATAAGCGCAGTTTTCTAATACGATCTACCGGAACAAGAGTCTCATTTAAACCGTGCAAGAATGTCCGATGAAGATCCACAAGATCACGGGCAAACGCGCAGTTCGATTAATTATATAGCGATCCAAGATTTGACGAGAATTGCATGCTATCTACGAAATGATTCTACGTTTTCGAGATTAAATAGTTCTCAATTTAAGCCTTTAATTTCGCGAATAGAAAGTGTTCCCAATCGTCGACCTCGAGTTAATCCACCGTTACCTCTTCGTTAAGAGGCAAAAAGAACAGGACTGTAACGAACAATGATCGCCGATCGCTTTCGGTGAATTGAATTTTCGACGTGTTTCTCCTTAGAACGTGGAGAAACTGGTTGCCTTCCGTTGGTTTTCGTTATTACAAATTTTAGAAGTTGTCCCTGGCAGTTCGTCGTCAGCGCGCGCGCGCGCGAATCGACACGTCGACCTTAATTACTTCATTGTACCATAAAATCTATTCTTAAATTATGACCGTGCAAAGAGGAGAAATTTCAGTATGAAATGAATCGCTAATAGGCGAGAAAACTGGTTACTAAACAGAACGGCCGCGGCAGAATTATTGTTATTACTTATCCGTGCCTAATTTTAGATCGCTGCGTTCGATCTAGCGAACACTGTCTAGATCGCTATGCATATGCATTATACATACGTTCTACATTCCGTAGAATTATGATTTCAAGTGTAACCCTATAAATAGAAGTGCTTGTTGCTTCTGAATTTTAATTCACGTTTGGAGCCTAACTTTTCGACAGCATTTTGCCTAAACTATTCTTTTAAATCATTGAAAGTATGTTTAACTTTCACACTGAAACCCTTGTGTAACCCTGTAAATAAAAGTGCTTGTTGCTTCTGAATTTTAATTCACGTTTGGAGCCTAACTTTTCGACAGCATTTTGCCTAAACTATTCTTTTAAATCATTGAAAGTATGTTTAACTTTCACACTGAAACCCTTGTGTAACCCTGTAAATAAAAGTGCTTGTTGCTTCTGAATTTTAATTCACGTTTGGAGCCTAACTTTTCGACAGCATTTTGCCTAAACTATTCTTTTAAATCATTGAAAGTATGTTTAACTTTCACACTGAAACCCTTGTGTAACCCTGTAAATAAAAGTGCTTGTTGCTTCTGAATTTTAATTCACGTTTGGAGCCTAACTTTTCGACAGCATTTTGCCCGAACTATTCTTTTAAATCATTGAAAGTACGTTTAACTTTCACGCTGAACCAGAAATAACTCCATTTTTGGCAACCAAATATTTCTTACCGTGAAATCTGAGAAACCGACATATATAATTCGATGTTTTGCGGGAATTTCATCCAATCTTTCGTGCACAACATTTCTTAATCGCGTGGCCGACTAATTAAACTGCGAGTTAAATCTTTACACCATGCTGTCTCTTGTTTGAAAACGTAGAAATTGTCCGTCGACATGCGATTTACTTTCTCGTACAAACAATAGTTTGCGCGTTCTTCGGCATTTAGTTCACTTTTAGCTCGCAGTGCCAAAAAGACACGTGCGGGCCGTATTTTAAGCAAATAAGGATCGAGTTTACAATATATATATTGGGTTGGCATATAAGTAATTGCTGATTTCAGTTATAGATGACTCTCACTCCCATTTTTATGACATTCGACTCTATTTATTATAGCGCTTTCCGATCAAAATTGTGCAATAATGACGTTTCGAAACGTATCAAAGTTGAAGTTTTATAATAACATAAAGATTAAATTTATTCGAACTGCACATTACACAATTTTTATGTATTTATGTTACGCTTAAACATAACGTTTCTCGTAGAAGCGCTTTTACAATTGCACCAGACATTTTAAACCATTCGGTAATTCTATTGTTACTGTCACAGCGTTCTTATGTTGGTTGAAATTGGGATTATTATCGCGTGACACCTAAAAACTTGTTATTATATTATATTATATTATATTATATGATATTATATGATATTATATTATATTATATTATATGATATATTATATTATATTATATTATGTTATATTATATTATATCATATTATATTATATTATATTATATTATATTATATTATATTATATTATATTATATTATATTATATTATATTATATTATATCA